CTCTCTCTCTCTTTCCCTCCCGGGACGTTTCGCAGCAGTTTCAGTTCCCTTCTCACTTCGTATATACATATTTCGTACAATTCGGCGTGTAATCGTTTCGAATACCACGTCAGGCCTTCTCTTTTTTCTCTTCGAATTCTCGTCGAATTCTTGCGTACATTCGGTTAAAAAATTAGTTCGCAGCATGAGCTTAAAGTCTACAAATGAGCGTTCAGACTTGTCGTTGATACGCAAGTAGATACTTTTGTCATCTCTGTGAAAACATGCAATTTTTTTGTACTTATATATAAAATTTCTTGAAATTTTGAAATATATGAAAATATATATAGAATTTCCAAGTTTTTGTTATTTTTAATTTAGTCTCTAGCCCCTGTGTATATATATATATATGTATATATTACATGTGGCATGATTATTATAAATCTCGTTTTATTTATACAATTATTAAATAGTATTCGAGCTCGTATGATTGTCGTATGATTGTCTAAAAAAAAGTGTTATCATCGTTAAAACCGCGTTATTGACAAGAGAATTAGGGAGGCAGATATTAAATGTCTAATATAATGTCGACCGTTATCTATGTTTTCTGAATGTTTCTTTTTTCTTCTTTTGCAGGGAAGACTCGAACAAAAGACAAATACAGAGTGGTCTACACAGATCATCAAAGACTGGAGCTAGAAAAAGAATTTCACTACAGTCGTTACATCACGATCCGCCGAAAAACAGAGTTGGCTAACAGCCTTGGGCTCTCTGAACGTCAAGTAAGTAACATATGCACGAATATTCGCGACATTAAGGTTACAAAATCCATCAGAGTAGAAGAAGAATCTAAAAAATAATGTATAATTTTTCAGTAAAAATCAAATGACTTCTATGATTATGAAGAATCCATCGTATGGATTTCCAAAGATTTCCGAATCACAAACATTGAATTTCAACTCAGGCTGAAGTGCAATTCCAAAATTTCAGAAATTTCCTGAATTCCTAAAGATGAAGATAGTAACTAGTTCTTCTGCTGTTGCAGGTAAAAATCTGGTTTCAAAATAGACGAGCAAAAGAGCGAAAATTATTGAAAAAACAAGTAGAACTGGAACACAGACTGGAAGCAGCAGTGAACGGAGAGGCGAGCACGTCTATGGCTGGTCTAAGAATCAGTGGACCATCAAGAGGAGCAGAGGAGATGCCAGGAACATCCAATGGTATGAACAACGGACACTCGTCGGGTCCTAACTTTGGGCATTCCTCTCGTTACGTGCCGCCTCGAAGTCAGCCGGCTTGTACAATTGTTTGTGCCAATGTTCATCCTGAATCACATTCTCACCCACTCTTACACTCTTCTTCTCATTCCCTTTCTCAATCTTCATCTCAATCACTTCCTCAATCTTCATCTCAACCTCTTCCCCATTCTTCTTCCCATTCTCTTCCTCACTCTTCTCCTCAGTCACTTCCTCATTCTTCTCCTCAATCACTCGCTCATTCTTCTTCCCAGCCGCTTATTCACTCTTCTACTCAGGCACAACCTCATTCTTCCTCTCAGTCACCTCTTCATTCTTCTTCTCAGCCGTTATCTCATTGTTCTTCTCAGCCGGTTTCTCACTGTTCTTCTCAGCTACTTCTTCACCACTCCTCTTCTCAGCCTTTTTCCTATTCTCATTCTCAGTCTCTATCCCATTCTCACCCCCAGCCTCTTACCCATTCTCATTCTCAACCTTTCCCTCTCCCTCTTTCTTCACCTCTCTCTCAGGCTCTTCCTTCACCTCTGCCTTCACCACTTTCTTCGCCTCTCCCTTCGTCACTTCCACAGTCGCTCCCCCAATCTCTTTCCCAATCTTTCCCTCATTCTTATCCTCATTCCTTTACTCATTCTTATCCCCAATCCTATCCTCAACCTTATCCCCAATCCTATCCTCAGCCTTATTCTCAGTCTTTTTCTCAGACTCTTCCTCAGACTCTCCCACAATCTGTCCCTCAGACTTTCCCTCAATGCTTTCCTCAATCTCTTTCCCAGTCCCAACCTGAAACTCAGTCTCAACTTCAATCTGAACCTCAATCCCGTTCTCAATCTCGGTCCCTAACTCAGCCCCTATCTCGATCTTTATCTCGAACTCATTCTCGCCTTCACTCAAGGCCTCAATCTCGACTGCAATCTCGGCCTCAGTCTTACCCACATTGTCAGCCTCAACCTCCATCGGCACAACAGTTATTGTGATCTGAAAAACCGGTTATTGAAACATGCTCCAATCGTAGCTGACACTACGGCCACCCTTCTCGTGCAATAGTTGAAACGACTGTGTTCATAAGAATGGCAGAATCAAAATTTGTTCAAGAAATTACTATTAATTAAATGTTATCAAAACTTTGTTTATTTAAGAAATTAATTAACTAATCAATCAATTACACTTTCTTAATTAAATGAATTAATTGGACTTCGTCGTATATATTTGTCTATTCCATTCAGTTGTCTCAAGTTTTTGAGATCTTTCACTTTATTCTGTTTACTCATTGATGAAAATATTTCGAGTATTTACGATGTTAATTTACTTATCTATTTATTATTTTATTTATTTATTTATTTTCTATTTTATTTATTTATATCTCATTCTTAATTAATCAATTTATTTATTAGCCTAATTAATTTAATTTAAATCAGATTAATTTAATTATTTAAGTCTAATTAATTAAATTATTTAAGCGTAATTCTTAATTTATTTATGTAGATATAATTAATTTAATTATTTAAATTTAATTAATTTAATTATCTAAGTCTAATTAATAATTTAAGTCTAAGTCTTAATTTATTCAATTAGGTCTAAGTAATTCTATCTAAGTCTAATTCTTAATTTATTTGACTAGGTCTAGAAGCATACTCGAAATATTTTCATCAATGGTATGAGCAAACAGAATAAACTTGAAGTTCTCGAGACAGTTAACTCAAATAGATAAATTTATACGACCAAGTCCAATTAATTCATTTAATTGATTTATTTAATTAATTTTTTAAATAAACAAAGTTTTGATAACATTTAATTAATTCACTAGTTAATTCATTTTTTAAACAGAGCAAATAATAGAAGGAATAATCGCAAAAAAATAGAAAACAAAGAAAGGGCCATTCTTATTTATTTACTATAATTTATATTGTTATTATATTGCAATTGTAAATATGAATTGTAAATGTTAATCGTAAGAAATTAAATTTTTAAAATATTAAATGTAAATATGAACTGGAAAAGAATAGAAAAATCCATCTTTGTTAATACGTTATAGAATATTATTGATGGACTTATTATTTTTATTACTTTTATTTTTCTAATTCTTTATAGTATTTAAAATTAATTACAATATAATAAACAATATTAATAAGTACAGTATTATGTACTTCGTAAATATAATACCAATAAAATGAATAACATCTAATATCTTTTTCCTTACATTCTTATCTGCAACGAAAGGAGAGTAAAAAGAGATTCCATAAATTCTAGCCAATTAATTTTAACTAATTAACTAAATTGAGGAATCTTTTTTTTTTCCATTCTTTCGTCGAAAATAAATGAAGGAGAAAAGATATTATTGTTTGTAGTTAAGATGTTGTTCATTAATTGCATTTTGTTATATGTTTGTTATTCTATGTACTAGGTACTTAATATTGTAACTATTATTATTGCACGTGTATATTATAATTAACGATAAATATTGTAAAGGAATAGAAAAGGAATAAAAATATAATATTACATAACGTAATGGCGTTTTTACTTCTTATTCCCAATCTAGATAGATTATCTTTTCTTCTGTGCAATTAAAATTATAGAACTGCATGCAATTTAAAAATTTTATAAAAGTAATTGTTTCGAAAAGAAGTCTTCCTGATTAAAAAGAAAATTTTTTTCTCACAGAAGTTTTTCTAAAATAATCGTAGCTCGTGGTCAATTCTAACGTGACAAATATATACAAAATAAAACTGATCTCTGATACAGAACTATTCTCAACAGAAAATTCCATTAATTTCCAGCGACAATTAAAAATTTCATTAACATTTAAATCCTTCGATTCTCGATCGTGAAACACTCGGATCTACAGAATGGTAACGACATTTACGACTTGGCCATTTGTTTGCAAACTGATATACCACGGTGGGAAAGTTCCTCGACTTGTCCCGACGGCGACGATTCTCCAATGTCTCCCGTTAAATCGTACATAAATAGCAGCGTAAAAACGTGTAATGCGGTTTACGCGAAGTGGCCAGGCTGGAATGGTACCTATACCAACCGATTGCAAAGCGTGTATTTGCCGGATACAACACAGAGAGAGAGAAACACACAGAGCAAATAAAGCAAGAGGAGACGAAGCTGCGAAGGTGGCAACGAGTCTCATGGGAGCCCTCGACTTAACTACCAGATCGATGTCCAACCCCAAACCACGCTTCATCCCCCCAGAAACTAACCCCTGCTGGCTTACATCGCCACCGAATTCTCGCTTCCTTTCTCTCTTCTTCATCTTCTACTCTTCTC